GGTTAAGATTCCATCAAGATATTTGGACACATAATTTTAAATTTATATTAGATTTTTTGTTATTTTGATTATTGGAATACACATAATCAAAAGGTGGGAGTGTTACGTCACTCTCATAAGATGACGTCATTCATTTAAAGTGTAAATATTAACTAAAACGATTTTTTAGCCTGTGTATATATGAAAAGTGTGAGTGGCAACAGAAAGAATGTTGTGCTAGATGTGTTCTACGAAAATAAAATGGTTGCTTTTGTAAATATGTGTACGCAGGTATTTCTTGTAAATTTAAGTTATTTCATCGCTGGATAGATCGGGTAGATTTATCGGAAGCACGAAACAAAAAGAGCAATTAAAAGATGGGGGAGGGGACTAAAAGTCCTATTCTGATGGTGTCTTCCCTTGAACTGAAGAGTTCATCGGGTGCCTTAAACAGCTTTGCTTAAAGTTACGCTTATTACAAGCTTACAATTGAGAACTTTTTCGACTAATATTAAATTAAATAATAAAAAATAGTAAATACATACTAAAAGTTTTTCATGCGTGGAATTGTCTTTAGATAAATGAACTTTATAATTGTGTTCAAGTTTTTTTAAATGGCTTAAAAATTTCTCGAGATTCGGTGAAATACACAAAAAAGTAAAATTAACATTAAGGGCTCCGAAGTTTGGATCGCTCTCCTGAACAAACTATTGGGATCATATTTCCTAGATTGCGGCTACCCCCTACATTTTGGGGGTCAAAACTCCGAATCCGTCCAAAAAAAGGCATGTAAATTCAGAGAAAGTACGTTTTTGTGTCTGATTTCATAACTTACCAAATAATTACCATACTTGCCTACACTAATTAACTAATGTATTTGTCTTCACTAACTAAATACATTATTTGAGGTTAACCACTCGAACTATTAAAATTGAGTCCTAGAACGTGAAATCCGATCATTAGAATAAAAGTTATTAAGGGTGGTATGTTTCGTATTTTTCGCACTGTATATAGTAACTTTTTCAACATGCAAAAGATATGAAGCAATTCACTCCTACAGGAAGTCGGGCAGTGATGACCTGCTTTAGGAATTAAAGGATTTGCGCTGCACGAATTTTGTATTGTCATATTTCTCCCTGGCAGTTTTATTTTATTTTAAAACCATCGTTGAACAGCTTACCCAATTTGGGGCTTACGACTACTAATGTTCAACTCCGTTGCCTTGTAATTTTGAACCCAATCCAGAAGACAACGGAACTCTTGTATCAAGTATTGGTGGAAATTTGTCTGCGGACTTTTCGATGAAATTTACCCGCATTTGCGTTGCATGGAGAGGAAAACCACCCACGTTTAGCCTGACGGCAAGGGGACTCCAGCTCATGATCCGTCAACTGAGGATATTTTTACGTCAGCACTGTATTCTGTGCAAGCCGGGGGCGGGATTCGTTCGTCCAGCTCCAATGACAATGAACGACCCCGGTTCATTCTCATTAGAAGGTGAACGCTCTATCCTCTTAGCCACCACGGCTCCCCCGGCAGTTATCGAGGAAAAGTAAGAAATTTTGCTACTGGTCAGTTTTTCAAACATTTGTAGTTTTAAACTATTAAATATTACTATAATAAGGCATTTTAATAAATAAATTTAAAATAATAAGATATTTCATTAGAAGTATAAGGCATTTCATTGGAAGTAGTAACATTACAAGGTTCATTTCTGAAGCGACGAAAAAAAATTCAAAATAATAGCGTGAAATAAAATAATTTTCAAGATATTTTAAAAGATGTTGACGTTCCTTAAAAAAATGGCTACCTTCAATCAATTCTTTCACCAGCACTTGTTATGTTAAGTCACCCTGTGGCCAGGTGACGACCATTGACTTTATTATCGGGACATTGATTTTAATAAAAATAACACCTTATTATTATTTCTTTAAAATCACTCAACCGATTTATTTCAAATTTACTCGAATGATGAGTCATAGAGATACTGTTGGAAATATCGACATTTGCCATTTTCTAAGGGTTCTAATTCAGTTATGGATTTAAAAAAAGAATTTCGAAATTGATAAGACCAAAGCAAAATCATGAAAAAAAATTTAAGATGTAAATTAATTTACTTTATTAGATCAAGCGCAGATAATTCTTTAGGGTTACAGGTATTTCAAAAGATTTAACACAATTTGGTACATGTGAGCATTCTGTTAATCTTCGGCGGATGGCACACCTTGAAATGTGTTTTAGAGATCGAGGTGAGCTCTCACCAGAATCACCATCAGTCAGTACATTCTTCTGATACCAATCCCAGGCTCTGTGCAATTCAGGCTGAACATCAGCCTGCAATTCCTTAAAGCAGGACAAGAATTGACTCTTTGATAAGAAAGGATCTGGTGTTGTTGCCCACACACGCTGCAATGTTTCCATACCTATTTTTGATCCACCGTATCCACCGTAGTAGATACATTCAATGTACAGAAATAAGACTTGGACAGACCGATACATCACGGTATTGAACTCTTGCACAACGATGTCTTGGAATCCAAATACGTTATTACTGAAAAATAAAAAAATAAAAATTATATAAGTTAAAAATAATTAAAAAAAAACAGTTAAGGCTAATCAAACTTGACTAGCGTGAAAGTGTTCCTGCGTGCTCTCTATAAACATTAGTTACTACAGATATATTTTGTATCACAAAAGAGCTGCTCAAATATTACGTAAACATATTTGCTTTGGTAACCCGATGAGTGGGATATTGAGCACTTTGCGGTCGAACAGTTTAACGAGGACCGATACCGCTCACCCTCGGTCCCTACGCAGACTTATCAAGACCAACAGCTTAGTGACCACAGCCAAAGATGCTTGACTTCTGGTGTTCTACTGGAAACCGTGTCTTTACGATCAGTCCACTACGGGACAATGGAGGGAGAAGTTGGACTAAGGAATTGTACAAATATTATAAAAGTATACTTTAGGCAAACATTGGGCAGATAGATAGGTAATGATAGAGTTATTTTGCATCACCCAAATATTTTTTCTCTTTTTTACGTTAGGCACTGAATCACCTCGGAAGATGCCGGAAGTGTTGCTCATTTATCGTTACCCAGAGGACACCTGTGAACCTGAGTCACGGAGGCGAGCAACATAACCCCCGCCACACTGCCACAGATACCTGGTTAACAGATACCTGGTTAACCCACAGATAATATTATAGGGTGGGTCATATTCACACATCACACAATCTAGATCAACGCACAGAGAGAAACATCCATGCCCTGCTGAGCGGGACTCGAATCCACAATCATTGACTTCACAGTCAGGCACGCTGACCCCTCGGCCACCTGGCCGACATATAAATATAACATCAGCATATTCTCAGCAAATTTCCTCTCCCCTTTCTAGTAAAAGCAATTGAATCACAAACCTCCTCCCATGGCTCCATTTTACACTAACTACCTGGCTTTGATTCAATTTTAACTTTCACAACAGTAATCTAATTTTATGACGCGAAAATGTAACTTAGCACAAAACAAAATTTATGTTTTATTTTTGTAGAATGTTCTTAGTACACATACACATTGTACATTTTGAGTAGAATACTCTTTAGGAATCTTTGTGTTCAAAATTCTTGACCTCTGTTATTCTTCGTAGAAGAATAATAGAGTATATCTGTATTTTCCAATTTTTTCTCCCTCGAGTTCAACATTTAGTTTAAACTTGAACATTTTCCACGTTCAAACTCTTTGTTACTCTTGCTTTAAAGAAAACTTTGGGAATGACTTTAATGTATAACGTAAGCATGGTTAATATCTCCTTTCCCTCCTTGACTGTAAAAATAATTAAATCACAAACTCTGACTTCCATTGCAACGCAATGTTTGCAGAGTCCCTAGATCAATTTCTTTAACTTCTTTTCTGTATGCACAACTCTACCAAAAAGGAAGAGACACTTTCAGTTTTTAAATTTTTTTTTAAATTTCTCAAGAATATTTTGTAACTTTAAGTTCATGCAATTTTTCATTCTTAGCAATGAGATTTAAAACTTTCAGAGGCTTGAGGAACCGACAATTAATTAATTATGAAAGAAAATAAGTATTTTTGAATACCATGTGCCGGAAAATGAAGCGATACGCATAGCCTTACGTAAACTTAGCTTAAATATTTAGGGAGAAAAAAAACATTTTTATAAGATACTAAATTTTTTTTTTGTTGCTATAATTTTAAAATATTCAATAAAATTAAACAAAATTTTGGAGCAATTTAAAAAATAATTACAAAATTAATGTTTTAAAATTTGAAAACATTCGTTAAAAACTGTGCAAACTATGAACATTTAAAGTAGTTTTTTTTGTACTACGCATCTGATTTGAATATCTTCAAAATTAAAAAAATTTCAAGCAATTTTTACCTTAGTTTTATATAATTTTTGCATTGAGAAAATGAAAGGAGTTTTCCACAAATGATGTATGTTGGGGAATACGCGTTCTTTTAAATGATGTATGTTGGGGAATACGCGTTCTTATAATGACCTATCCTTAAATTTGTTGAAACTCCTTATCGTTTTGAACTTTCTTTTAAAAGTGCAAGCACTACTTAGAAATTTCTTGATTTTTATTTAATTTTTAAAATAATTAATTCGGACTCTTTTTCTTATCAATTACCAAACACGATTCACTACAAAATTTTGAGAAATTATTTTTTTAAATTTTTTCGTGTATGCGCAGAATAAACAAACTATTTAAGATAAACCTTGCGAAGTTCTAGATCTACACTCCTGACTATTTTTTTTATTAGAGGTGCCAATAACTTCGTGGCCATTTTATCGCACTTGAGCAACAATTAGAAGTCACCAAGACCAAGGGTTTGCACCCATCTACCAATTTCTCTGATGCTTGGAGGTGGTGGGTTCGCGCCCACCGTAATCCTGAATTGCATCGCTGTGTAGTTTATTTCTGTAATACATTCTGAAACAAAACAAGGGTTTAAAATTCGTTCCCTATATTTCACAAGTTCGCTTATTTATCAGAGTAAATAAGCACTAAACCACACTTCTCGAGTTTATTGATCCACCAAACGCGAGTTTGGCCAGAGTCCCACCCAGAAACGGGATTTATCCCTCTGATGTTTTTCTCTAATTTATGTGATCTTTTCTTTACCTTAACAAAGGTTTATAATACGCTTTCATAATGAGTACACTAGCCTGTATATGTATAAGTAACAATAAATAAACAATGTTTCGGAACTTCCTGGCTGGCGGTATTTCCTGCCAAACATTTTACGAAGTGTCAAGGTAGCGGGTTCGAGTCCTAATGTTATCCTGGATGTATCTTCGTGCTGTCTGTCATTCTACTACACAAAGGTTTATAAGCCTTATTTGGCACACAAGTCTGTATATTTATGTTGTCCCAATAAACCACTTAATAATGTTTGTAAATTTAGTCGTTGATTTTAATACTGAGAAATAAACTTCTTGTATGAGTAGAGTTATGTCTTACATAACCAAAGAACACAATTATTCTACAAAAAGTGTGAACGAATATATCCAGCAACGATTTTTCTTCTTGGATAAGGATCAATTATCACGTTTAAACTGTATTTACTGTAAAAATTTAAGACATGTTGATGATGTTCGAAATCATCATCCAAATAAGACGATCATATGGAAGTATGAGTGCAACATCTGTAATGTCCTCTATCCAACGAAGTTATCGTGCGAAGGACATGTAAGAAAACATGACTTTTTGTCATGTGAAAATTGTCACTGGAAAACAAGAGACTGTGAGTTGTACAATCAACATGTCGAGGAAGTTCACAAAATAACAGTTAAAAAAAGTGAATTGTAGTTTTAAATACTTTATAATGAATTGTAAACGTTCTTAGATGTTTTATGCATTTACTTTTGTATTTTAACGCTTGTAATAAATCTTATTTTATAAACATATTATTTAGTTACCTGAAAATTTTGTTATAAAATTTCGGTAAAATGTTGTAAAGCATTCAGGGATGGAAGATAAATTACAAAACAACAGTATTTTTGAACATCCTATGTCAGAAAATGAAACATTAAGCTTGTAACTTGTATCAATTACTTTAGTTGTTATTTACAATGACAAGCTTAAATAGTTATGGAAATATGAACATTTTTATAAAAAACTAATTATTTTCTCTTGTTTTTTTGTTGCTATAACTTTAAAAATATTCCGTAATATTTAACAAAATTTGATAAAAAATGAGCAAAATATGAGTATTTAAAGCAGTTCTTTTGTACTGTGCATGCACTTAAAAAAATGTAAAATAATTTTTTCATAATTTTAGAGTGAATCGTATTTGGTAACTTAAGAACATTTTTTTTAATTTAAATATCTTAAAAACGTAAAAAATTTGAAAGAACTTTTTAAAAATTGATTTTGTACTTTTAAAAGTAAGTTCAAATTAAAATTGATTTTGTACTTTTAAAAGTAAGTTCAAACCGATAAAGTTTTTTCCACAAATTTATTTTGTTCCAGACATAAAAGGTTACGGTAATTTGCAATACTTCATAATAAGATTAGTGAAAATCCCTTGATTATTTTAAGCTTTCGTTTAAACTACTTACAAAATTGCTTGAAACTTTTCCCATTTTTAAGATATCAGATCATTTCTATTAGTTGCTAAATACGATTATATATATATCAGTGGCTACCAACTGGCTGCCCGCGAGCCACATCCGGCCCGCAATGCCTTTTTTTGTGGCCCGCGAACTAAAATATATTAGTTGTCATTTTTTTACGGACAATATTTGTAAAAAATCTATATGATTTTAAAGTATTTTTCTTCGTTAAAAAAAATTTTAGAAAAAAAAAAAATCATAATTTCTTTGTTTCTGTGAAATGTAACATACCAACGGTGCAAAAAAATTTATTTCTCATGTAAAAATCTACTTCTTACTTTAATTTGTAATTCAATACTTTTGTTTTGCACAACTTGATAAAAATCTGACAGTAATATTTAATGTTCCTTCAAACATAAAAGAGTCCTATATAAAATTTTGATAAAGTTGCGGCCCCGCCATTTGACTGGTGTTCTTAATTGCTGCCCCCTGCCTCATGTAAGTTGGAAACCCCGGATATATATATATAATATATGCGTGTGTGTGGGTGGGTGGGTGTAATATTTAACAATATAGTAATGACTTGCAGCTATTAAACTAATATAGCAATTAGATGTAAACATTTTAATACTATTATGAAAAATTATATTTTACGAATTGACTAGCAATCTGAAAAAGGATTTTTGAAAAAAAGCTTACAAAACAGGAAAATAGGACTTTATTTATTTCAAGGAAGAGGTTCGCAATTTGAGTCGTCTCTGGATTCTTAGGACCTGTGGTTCTAGGTTAAATTATTTATTCTTTTATTTTTTGATACTTTGCACGTTTGAAACTTTTTTGATTATATAGTATTATTCGGGGATAGCAAGGGCTTCTATAAATGTAAGAAGTGGTGACTAATAAAAAGAAAAAGTATATTAAAACTAGTAACTTATTCAAGCATATTGTTTTCAAATTACTATTGAA